TCATTTATACAACATGCATGCAAGGCTGTGGTCAGAATCAATTTAAAATCGTCCACTATTCATTATTCATTGTTGGCCGTTGACCTCAATTTTATTTTCCTATTTCAATTACCTTTTAGAATCCCTCGACAACGAGCAGAATGTTCATTCAAAGGAAGTCGATAAATATTATTTATTATTAAATAAAATTTAAAACGATTTCGTTCAGTCTTTTTTCATTAAAAACCTATTACAATTTTCTCACTCTGGAAGTCCTCATGCTTCTGGAATAGTTTTTTCTGGGACACTTTTGTGTTTCTTTGTGTTTCTAATGGATTATCCATAAAATTGCCTGGCCTATATAGAATAATAAATAATCTTAACAATTATAATTTCAACAGAGTGCAAGCGGATCGCCAGTACCTCTAATTTTCACTTATTCTGCCCCCTTTGGTTGTTTATAGAGGATTACTGCCAAATATAGCTATAGCTACGAGATTTATCCGAAGAGATTTTTGCTTGCGGCCAAAAATGGCCTGGAAAAGGAGGGTTACTCGAATTTAAAAGCTTAGAAACTTTTCTAAATATTTTAGAATTCATTAATCATTATTATTTAAAACTAAATTTGAAATTAAATTTAATTGTTTGTTCCATTTAAATGTTATGATTATAATAGACAGCTGTGTTAAAGTAATAAAAGAAATTGAAAATGTCTGAAATTTTCTAATCAACCAACTGAAAATCGTAAGATTTATTTTATTTATCAAAATCATTCAGTATACTTTTCATGAGAGGAAACTGTTAAAGTGGATATAAAATATTTTCATTTTAAATAATAAATTATTGACAAATGTAATAGGGCTTAGGACGTGGAACAAGGATTTAATTTCAGGAATGTATCGGATCTTTGAAGCATTTTTCCATAGCCGCCATTGAAGTCAGCCAAGCCAGCAATGGCGCAAATATTGTACAACAAACATATCTAGATTGAACGTAAATAGATCGCTCTAAAAATTAGCTCTGTATGTACTTTCTGGCAACCTAAAGTCCTTAGTAGTAAAGAAATTATCATTAGAGACTATCATAATTATTTCTGAATACATATGGCTAATAATGGCTAAGCTGACTTTCGTCCTTTTAATTTATTTGAATTATTTAATTTGTTAGGCACATACTGGAATAAAAAATATACTTCGAGTGTTTAGAGCTTGCCAAATGGGTTTTGTAAACCCATATATCTTCCCGCCATGTGACTCCTTTGAAAAAATTTCGAATCGAACTAATAGCCAATAACAATAGCAGAGAGCCTAACCAGAAATGGCGAGCGTTAGCTACTTTTTTTTTTACAGTTCTGCTATCACTGCAAAACAGAAAATTATAACAAAATCCGTTGCCTTCATACTATTTTGTGTGATTGTGAATTCAACCGGAATGTAAAACTTTGAAGCTCGAGTTTCTGCTGTTCTAATGGAGTTCCAAAGATTTGTATAAACTCCTAATCTTACTCTTTGATATGGGTGCATCGAATAAAGATAGTTAATCAATATTTGTTTATCATTAAGATAAATCAGTATATTAAAGCACTTCTTTTCAGGTGTAACACTTTTCACGAGTATGGATTAAAAATTGCTTCTTCATTTTCATTTATAAACAAATTATGATTCTTGTTACTGAAGAGTGATACTTTCTTATGCTAAAGGCTGACTTCTAAAAGTATATTAACACTTCAGTATTAACGTCATCTCAACACGTCAGTTCACCATGCTGTTACATTGGTCTTATTCATATCTTATTCATAATAATTTCCAAAAAAATATATGGAAAAATTACGCTGTAAATTTGCAGGAAACTGGGTGCTATGAAATACAACTGAAATTTCTTTTTCTTCGAAATCGCTCGAGAAATTTGCTTTCGCACCCTTCAATAAATGCGTAAATTTCTTAATTCTTTGAATAAGTACATTTTATTCATGTATTTATTGATGTATTTATTTATCTGGTATTAAAAATAACGTTGCATCATAACTCTCGAAAGCATTATTTCGTACATCCTCTCAATGGATTTTATCCTAAATGAAAAATCGTCATATAAAAAATCATTTGCAGATTCTTTATTATAGCTGTACCGTGATTCTCCATTTTAAGCAAACTTAAATGAAATAAGACTTTAAAAGCTCAAGCAAATCGTGCAGTCATTGTTATATTTAGATTTCTAAATTAATTTACATAAATACGAACGATAATAAGATGCAATTACATATTTTTTGCCCATAACTTATGAACAAAATACGTTGGATGAGTTATTGATGAAATTGGGATGAGAATAAACATATTTGCAGCATCAAATGCTGTCAGCTGTGTCGTTTTCATTCTTAAATCGTTTGTTTTGATACGTTTTATGTTATCGAATGATATAAATATGTTTATCACGCTCTCTTTTATGAAACAATTTTATTTTTATGTGCACATCCATCTAGTGTTTTGTATTAATACTGGGTGGTTAAAATTCATTTAATTATAAATTTTTTATTATTATTTATCGTTATTATTATTATTAATTATTATAATGATAATCACCAACATCGTCATTTCTTGTTACTATTATTATGTTACTATTATTATCGCATATTGATCATTCACAAATAAAATTAAAAGATGAACCACATATAACAGACAGTTGTGAAATATTTTCAATCCACCCCTTGTCGAAGGTCATAATAATTAAAATGTGCAGTGTGTGTCGGAGGTACATAATGAAATCGGAGAGAAGGGAGAAGAGAGGAAGATGAGATAAATGGTCATCTGGTCCAACCAGCAATCACCGATTGCTGACCATATGCTATTATTATATGTAATTTTTAATTTCCGTTGGTAAACGTCCCTCCATCCATCTTCATTTCTTCCTATTTCTCATCCTAGTGCGGTTCTTTCATTGCTTTATTTACCATTCTTTATTATCCATTGTTTTAGAATTCTTTTTGATAAATTTTGTATTTACAGATTAAATAAAATTTTTATATTGTGAGTGACCATAGGTGCCGGATTACCAAGGGCGGAATTGTGAAGTGATTGTTGTTTAGATTATCATCTCGACCACCAGAACATCAAATTTCGGACTCTATCTCAGGAATTTGTCATAAAAGACTCATACTTCTGTATCTGAATGGCTTTGATTGTCTCATTCTACTGATAGCTAACGGTGCAAAATTTGATGCGTTTATTTAGGATTCGCAAGCTGAAAATGGAAATGTACCCACGTATGAATTTAGAATTTAAAAATTATATATTTATACGTTATATATTTTTATATAAACATTAAAAAAGCTTATGAGTTGATGAGTCTCCTATTTTTAGTTATAAATCGTAATATTTAAAATGTAGTTTCGCTTTTCATTCGGTCTCTTTTTGTTTATCAACTTTCTTCCTTTCACTGATAAATGATTCAATAAAATTGAAAGCAATAAGGGTAAACAAAGAAAATTCACAATTTATGAACAAATAAGTCGAAAATGGGAAATTATTAATTAAATAAAGAAATATTAATTATAGATTTAGGCATAAAAAGATAATCTAGCAATAGCATTTGACCGAATAAACTGATTTCTGAAAAAGAGGAAAAGACAATTCGTGATCCTTTGTTCGTGGTCCCACTTAGTGACCCTTTCTGACCGACTAACCGATCGACTAACTAACCAACTGACCAACCAATCAACAAATCGAAATGCATCACTTTTATCGAACTAACAACGAACTATTTTATGATCCTTTTATTCGCCCTGTTAAAAATATATTGTCTAGTCATATCAGTTGATCTGAACTCACTGAATTTAGTGATAACAACTTTGTGCCATAATTAATCAGTTTTGCCACTTCGCTTTAAAAAATAATTTTGTTTTTTGCTATTATTTGATTCAGATGTTTTATTTAAAAAATTCAGTCTTGAGTTTTGAAAATATTTGTATAATTTCTTGTTCAGTGTTTTTTTATCGTGGAAATAATAATGTAATAAATATTCTATTTTTTCACTCATTTCCTTTCACCTTTATTTTTTCTAAAATTCTATGTTTCTCCAATCTACCACTGCAAGAATCGATATTTTTGCTGTCTTTTTTTCTCGGAGTGCTCAAATTGCTGGTTGGGATCGCTTCACTGGCCTATCGAGCTAGAGAAATTTTGCCAAGGCATCACCGAGTGACCGTGCCCGTCATCAGGATTGTCTGGGTTTTTGAAGGTCAGGTTTATTCTTGCCAGAGGGAGTAGAACCGAGCATCGCACTCGAAAATAAGCATTCTAATCTCGTTTGATTCCACCGTTCCCAACATTGCAGCTCGATAACACATCGTCGTGCACGGAAAGCAGTTTGTTATTGTTATTGTCATATTTATTTTTAATTGTTAATACAACCATTGTAATCTGTAAACTAATAATCAGTTTTACATATGATTTTTCTCTTTATTTCTTCTTGTTGATGGAGAGCAACATTTTCATTCAATAACAAGTGCCTGTCCCATGGCAACGTCGAATGCACAATGGCTTCATTTAGGTATAAATTCCCTTCCGAATTATCGTATTCATCTAATTTATTGAATACTCTGCTAGTTTGTCAGTGTCAATAGTTAATGGTCACTCATTAATTCTGGCAAGTCTGACTCGAATAAATCGAATGTTGACGAATGATTGCTAGCTGTTTGCTTTCGGCATAGAAATACGCGCAGGTCTTAAGGATCGCTGCGATGTAATCCCAGGGTTTACTGCACCAAGGGGAACCATTATATTTGAAATTGTAGTTCAAGCAACATGCCACTCGTTCAAACTACCACCACCTATATTTCCTATATTCTTAAATGTTTAAAACAAATATTCGATTAAACAATACTGAAGACAATCGAAATAATGTAGCAAAATTAAATTGAAACAAATTTTATTTTGTTAGTGTCTTCTAATTGCTTTTGAAATTTTTTTAATATATTTTTTTTTCACATTTCTCGATTATTATTTATTTCATTGGTTATCTTCGTTTGCATGAATCACTTGCTCAAGATTATTGAATTAGTGATCACGGTGCAAAGTACCGTCAAAGTACCGTCAAAGTACCGTCAAAGTACCGTCATTCGCCGTAAACAGTTGACATTAGATAATTATGAAGGGCTTTCATTTTTTGCTGTAATTTAGAAATTTCGCTTTACCACTCCAACATTTCATCCGCAAAAATTCTTAAATTTATTTCTGTACTCGAATTTCTGGGAAAGCCATAAAAAAAAGTAGGAAATAGGCAGACGTTGTAGGCATTTATTTAGTTTTGTCATTTTAATTTATTACGCCATAGTTATAAAATACTGTACTCGCAAATTCTCCCAAAACATTGAATTATTACGAAGGAAACAAATTTATTTTTTTTTAGATCTCAAAAAATGTCATTATTTCATAAGTACCAATTTTCGATTATAATCATATTTCTACAGGTTTCTATTTTCTTTATTATTTTCTTTCCTCTTTGAATTTCGTTTATAATTTCAGTATTGGAACATTTCTGGATTCTGAATTCTCTTAAAATAAACCTTATGAATTTAACTAAATCATCGTTCTTCATCTCATTTGCTTTGCTTTGATTTTGAAATTGATTTGCAGTATTTCTGGGAAAAAAGGGAAAAGATTTTTGAGAATTTTTTGTTTTCTAAAAAAATTTATCGATAATGATATTTGTGGAAATTCGATGATTTGCAGCAGTCATTTTGCTTTTGTTTATAATGGTTAATTTTTAGATACTATTTTTGGTGTTATTTGCAATATTTGGCAAATATACGGAAAATGCGACTCCAGCGAGTAAAGCTGATGCTAACTTTGTGAACACTAACTACCCATGTTAGTTCATTTAGTGCAGTTTGTAATTCAGCAAAGCAATATGGGCGCTATGATGTTAGAAGCAAATAATATCTAGTCATTTCAATCTGTTTATCTTTGTTCTGCAAAAGGCAATCTAGGCATTGCCAGACCGCAGATTTACTCCCAATTATTGCACTGTGAATATCCTCCTCAAATCCTGCTATAATGCCTTAACATCCTCGAAAATGCCATCTTCAAAATTCTTAAGTCTAGTCAATTACAATTAAATAAATAAATTGCAGACTATTAAAACATGGTTTGCTTTCTCTTATTTCACAACAAGTCATTCAACAAATATTTCCTTATTTCTGAGGCACAATATTCTTACTATTTTCGAACGGTGTCATATCTCCTCATTACTCTTTTGATCACCTCTTACAACTGTTTATATTCGCCTTCAGGCCCGCTCTTCTTCCTGGGTCATTTGAATTCTCATAACTTCCCATTATATTCTGGAAGCACTTCCCAAATCGCTATACTTTCTTAACACATCACCAGGCCTCGTTTTTCGCTTTCATTTTTTTGTAGTTTTCCTTTCTCTTTACTTTTTCGCATTGTTCCCATCTTTTAAACTAATCTTTTTAATCATGCTTACCTCACTACATTGCCAGAACTTTTTTTTTCAAATTATTCTTGAAGAAGCTGAAGCGGAAAGTAATTAACTGCATTCATTTGAAATGAATTCCAGATTTTTCGAATGTTAAATCAGACATACAAAATGCAAAACATGCAAAAATTATATTTAGTGTTCCAAGATGTTCACACAATGGCGATTATTGGCTTCGGCTTCATAATGGTTTTTCTTCGTCGCTATGGATTTTCGTCGGTTTCCTTCAATCTCCTTCTCGTCTGCTTTGTGATACAATGGTCAATGCTCATTCGCGGATTTTTCTCAGCAGATTTTGCGAAAGATGGAAAATTCCCGATTTCTATTATCGAGTAATTTTCTAAGTATTTTCAAATACCAGTTGCTAAAATTTCACTTTCGCCACCCAGTTATATTTTTGCAGTTGAATGCACAGTTTTCAGGATTCCAGAAATATCAGGTTTTCTAACATGAAAAAGCATTCTCTTTTGGTATATATTATATATTATCAGTAATCATTGTCTATATAAATACATAAATTTTGCAGCAATTTTAATCCATCGCAAAAACTGGCTTGTTTACAATTCGAATCTTTTATAGATTAATTAAAGCTGATATGGATGCGATAACGATCGTCATAGCGATGGGTGCTGTATTGGGTAAATTAACTCCAATTCAATATGTCATTATGGCTGTATTTGGAGTTCCATTAGCTGTCACCGTTGATCACATCGTTTTCAGATTTTTAATGGTAACTTTAGATTAACAGACGCTGGATTAGGGAAAAAATCGACCAATCGTTGTAACCAATATTTTTATTCAACATATGTGGGAAGGAAACATTTGATAAATCGCCTCAAGACATATTGTTCACAGATTTTGATGAAGAATGTGTGCAAATTTTGCCTAGTGATTAATCCAGAGAAATATATTTGTAACATTCGCATCATATTCATTTTAACTTGCGCAACGGCATGCTCAGCAAGTTCTAATTTCGAATTTGCTTGTTAGCCAACTGGTCATTTATTTTTCCATAAATCATAAATATAGGTTTTAAAAGACGCTTTTATTGACAATTTAGGTGAATGATGTTGGTAGGTCATTGGTTATACATACTTTCGGTGCTATATTTGGTATTGCTGTTGCAAGAGGTTTCGTGAGTCCTGTGACATTTGAACATCCACATAAAGGAAGCAATTATAACTCGGATATTTTTGCAATGATTGGTTTGTTTTTCTTTCTCTAAATAATCTTAAAATCCATCCCAAGTTACTGCAACTTTTCAAGTAAACCTTTCATTCTTAATTATATTTCATAGTATAATTTTTTCTTCACCAGTCCTTTTAAGATTAAAATCCTTTCACTATAGAGTCACTTGATGATAAAAATATAAGGCACGAAATCGGTAAGATTTTTCTTTTGCCTAAATGTAACGGGTCACTTTGATTGAACTGGTAATCTTACGCTGCACAACCACGCTTCTCAGTTCATATTTGAGATTGAGATAACTTTAAAATATTATTATTAGTTCCGCAGTATTATATAACGATAACACAGTAAAAATTTTCAGGTGGCCTCTTTTTATTTATATTCTTTCCATCATTTAATGCAGCTCTTGCTAGTCCAGAAAATGCCCGTCACCGTGCAATCCTTAATTCATACTTAGCTCTTAGCGCATGTGGTGTAATTACGTTCGCAGCAAGTCAAACTATGGATCGTGAAAAGAAGGTATAATTGATAGTTAATTTAAATTGTTGTGCAACATCTGCAGAATAAATTTTTAAATGTTTACTCCGATAGGACCCCCATTCATCAAAATTCAATGTATTATTGGAATTTAAAATAAGCCATTTTATTATTCATTTTATTTATTATTATTCGAATGATAAAAAGATAATTGCCAAATTAAAAAAAGTTTTTTAAAGAGTCGATTTACTCTAAGACATATCGCAAATTCAACAATTGCTGGTGGTATTACTATTGGTACCGTTGCTAATATTATCCTGGAACCAGTATTTGCTGTACTTGTTGGTTGTCTCGCTGGTTTCATTTCGGTTTTCAGCTATCAAATTATTACTGTTAGCTTTTTTTCAAATTTTTGTCAAGAGTTTTTAATTTTTAATAGAAGTCTATCTCGATGAGACTTATATTAGTTCATTTAGCCTGCTCTACTTAAAAAACTTCGTATTGATGATACTCGTGGAGTTTTCAGTTCTCATGCACTTCCAGGTTTCTTTTCTTTTATTATATTTTCAAACAAATCTTTGGTGATTTGGCGATATTCAAAATAATTTATTTTTTTTAAGCGAAAAATCGTTTTATAGGAAAAATTTTTTCAAGGTATTCTGGCTGGTATTCTGGGATTCATTTTTGCTTTCATCTATGATCCAACTCGCTATGACGCAACGTAAAGTTTATTTCTATTTTCATTACGTATATATGAAATGAAAGATTAGCAAGTAAATTTGAATAACTGCATCATACAACAGCGTTAATCGCTTTTTTATCATGAATTATTTAAAATTTTAAAAATTTGCAATCGAAGACGCCTAAAGCACTGGAATCGGATTGATCGCAGAAAATTTTAGTTAAAGGCTATATAGAGAAGCCAGTCAACTGGTATTGCTAGAAATTCGAGAATAAGGAAATTTAAATTTAGTTTAAAAGATATCTATCCAGCTTTGAAGACTGAAGCAAATCCAGATGGCCGTGAAATATCAATGCAAGCTATTTTCCAACTCTTAGCTGTTGTAATTGTTCTTGTGGTCAGTCTTGTCGGTGGTATAATTACCGGTAATAAATTCTTTATTTAAAAGTAAAGATGCTCTCTGCATTTTTCTTTATAGAATTTTTTATAAATTTATGCAAATAAGGATTATTTTCCAACACAAGAATTATTCTCCACCTCCTTACATGTTTCATGTTACGTTATATTTGCGTTACAAACCTAATTATCAATTAGAATTTCCTTTATTTAGGATTGCTTTTGAAACTGAAATTCTTAAATCAAATTCGTGATAAAGAATTCTTTTCCGATTTCGATATATTCGATGTGCCTGAGGATTTCGACTTTACAACTCGAGTAAACTTCATTCGTTTATTTTCATCAAATAATTTCTGATACATTTTCTTTTAGTTAATGTTATTACTTTGGATAGAAAATAATAGGCAAAAAAAAAATCTTTAGATTTTCAGAAAAAAATTTCAGATAATTTCGAAGATCGATCACATCGAACTAACTGAGCATAGTGCACTAACAAGCACCAACAAGGAAAAAGATCATGGAGAGCATTAGCCTCATTTGTGGAACATTTGGTACCTTGTTTACCAAGATTTAAAGAATCTCAGAACCTCATCAATTACAAATATTTAATCCATTTTTATAATCAAAAGACATTTTACAATACTGAAAAAATTTTTTTGAGTCGCTGAAAGAAAGCGCTTACGAATATGCGAAGAAAAATATTTATTTAGTAAAAATAAGAAGCAAGCATGAAATACAATAGGATTACAACTAGTTGTTGAATTTCGACAAATAACTTAAGACAAATCCAAAATTTATACTGGAAACTTTCAAATTCTCATTTACAGTTGCATCCTGAGCCGATTTTAAGTAGAGTTTGAAGAGGCCATTTCTTTACCAAAAATCCAGCAACAATAGACGTATATAATTTAGGTCTACTGGTATAAAATTTCAAAGAGCAGCTTGATTTCATCGCTTTTTTTCGCGACACCGTCCTGTGTGTATTGGTGTGATTTTTTCTATTTTCTGATTTGGTTTAAACAATTTCCTTAAAACTATACTCTGGATGATCATAAACTCATTTCTTAATATAAACTTTCAGTTCTAGAGTAATTTTCTTACCTCTTCTTTCATTACTGACCTCAAGTTCTTTCCTGTTAAATTGTTTTTTTCAAAATTTCTTATATAGAAATAACTCTTGTCATTTTAGTTTAAATTAATATTTTTTTAAAATTCATTTATTTTATTTGTTGCAAAGCCACTTTCATCATTTTTTATCGTTCTTCGCACGATAAAGTTTTTTCCTTTATTCGAAAAATATTATCAGATTCATGATCAGTAATCAAATTATTCTTCAGCCATACGCAATGAACTGTCAATTAGATGAAATAATTAAAACCTTGACGATAAAATTGCAAAGTTAAGACTAATTCACTGACATATCTTGAGATGGTTATTTCAACAAAGTTCGAAATCGACAGTGTTACAGCAGCCTTTTAAAAATTTTTTTATTGTCCAATCATTCAACAGTTCTGACAGTGCCTAAGACCGAAATCGGTGATTCAAAAATTTATGCAGTAGATTGCTATATCTACTAAGGAACGTAAAAAAAAATTTTTGAAAATCGCAGCAATACGACAGCAAAAAAAAAAAAAACAGAATAGGACAAACAAATTAGTGGAAACTGGAAAGCTAAAACTCAAACAAAAATTATTGCACAGATCGAGAAAAAACAGAATTAAATAAATTTTGCCCAAAAAAGAGCGCGAAACAAGATTAAACTGGCGAATTAGTAATTAGTAAGTAATTCTTAAACAACTTACTTCTTACTTAGACAACTTTATGCAACATCTCGCAAAAAAAACGATAACAACCGTTAGACGAGAACTGTTGGTTACCAGAACCAAAGAAAACGAAAAAATAAACGATCTAGTAACGGACTAAAGCAATTAAATGTTACGGATATTATACGGATGATAATGCAGCTGTTACGCTACCCATAATATTAACTCTTCGTCCATTGTACTTTTGCGATATTTCCTTTTCAATCTAAGATTATTTTTAAAATTAATTATATGAATGAATTCAAAACCAAAATATAGAGGATACAAAAATTAACGGCAAAAATTTGGAAGTGCGTAGGCGTGACTGTATTTCTATATTTAATTTTCAAATAAAAGTTTTAAAATAAACAAGAAAAACGATTTATAACAATAAAAAGTATGCAAAGGGAAAAAGAAGCCGATTTATAACAATAAAAAGTATGCAAAGGGAAAAAGAAGCACATATGCAAAAAAGTAGTCGAACTATCGTCGTACTAGCAGTTCAATGGAAAAATAATGACCTTTATAACTATTATGATTCCTACTAACATATGCTGCAATAGGTTCTTTATTTAAGCTCCGCAACGACTTTACCAAGATGGACAATAATAACAATTTTAGTGAAAAACTAACCTCTTTCTGCAAAAAACGTGTTGATTCGACCATAGTATTTAATTCAGCTTCTAATATATTCCTAGCATTACGTATACCAACCTGATTGCTTACTGTGAGTTGTGCTAAGTTTTTATAACGCTCTTCTAGAGAAAATTTGTGTTCAAACGATTCAGCGATCATTTTTAAATGACTGTAAAAGAAGAAAAAGGAGAGTTAATTTCATTCGTATGTTCGTAAAAATTTGAATAAAATAGAATGCTACAAACGCACTGTTGTGATGATCGGATTTTATAAAGAAGACTTTTCTGCGGATCTGTTAATTTCCTCAACAAATTTTGCACCTGGTGCAGCCACGAATTGATCTGCGAAATTGCAACCTTTAAATCGATAATTTAGGATAAAAAATACTTGGACTTCTTATAATATTTCTCACTCGAAAACCCATTAGTGTTAGCAACCACAATTTCTGCTAACAGACCACTAAAATACCATCAGATTTGCAATTTAAAAAAGCAGAAACTTTTGTAAGACAAAATGGACGATTTTCTAGCCCAGAAATGTAAATATCGGCAAAATTTTCTGTTGTTTCATCGATCTGCCGGAATAGCAAGAATTTCTCAAGCTGAAATACATTTTATAACACAAATTTTCAGTTATCTTTTGAAGTTTCAGCAATTCTAGAGAATTTTATTTTGCAATGAAATTAATTCTATATTATTATATAATTAAATAGCAATTACAGAGAATTATTTTATAGAAAGAATGTGGACAGTGATCGCTTGACTTGTGCACATAAGCATTCTGACATTCCATGCTGCTACGACTAATATCTCTGCGCGCATGCAGAGAGCCGTTTCCCTTGACAGTTTTCGAGCAACTTCGTTGGTCGTGAACAGATCATATTTTCATGCGTTGGGGTCATTTGACTACTCCCAGACTGCATACCTTTTCGCACGTACCACCGGATTGATCATGGAAATTGGACACTGTCAAAAAGACTTGATTCTCCTACCTTTCACTATGGAGTCACTTTGGGATATAGTTATCGGCAGGTTTACTCTTGTCGAAAAAAAAGGGAAAAAAATTAAGGTAGGAGAGAAGAGTGAAAAAAAAACTAAATAATAAAAATAAATCTTTAATATATATTGAAATATATTAAATATATATTTTATAATTTATATAATTTAATTGACTACCCTTATAGTGGAGCCATTCCAACCAATAATGATGAAAGCTGTTAGAAGAATACATACTAATAGAATGATTTAAAAATGATCTCAAATATTTTTCTTTTAAAAGATTACAGCAACTCTAAATAACCTCTTTTAGTTCATCGAAGATCAATTTTCGAGTCTCAGGACTTTCAAATAATTCAAATGTTTCACGCGCATCGCACATAGTACCGTTAAATGAATTCCCTGTAAATAAAGATATTTTCATTAAATTAAGATTGACTAAAACCAATAAATAAATATTTAAATGGCAAGAACAATTTGAAAAAAAAAAAATAAGTGAAGCGAAAAAAAACAAAAATATTCCATTTACGATTTTTGATAAAACAGCATAGGGAAAAAAAAATATTACCGCTCTCATCTCCAACAATTTTGATACCAACACCAACTTCAGTGTTTTTTGCATCATTACTGTCTTTATCCAAATCACCAAAATCTATTTTTTCAGCTTCATTTGAAACCTAAATAAAGAGCTACCAAACAAAAACCTACAGCATAAACGAAAAATATGAGTTTTTATGAAGACACTGCAATTTACTGAACTACTCATAAGAGTTATCATATAATCTGGTACTATAAATTCATTTAACCAACATCGGCATTAGTGGTAGGCAACAGCGATGTTTTTTCAATACTTCTTGATTTGACCTCATATTTCAAGTCAAATACGGCTAAATCGTTTCCTTTCTTGATTAATGTTTTATTAACGGGAAGAGCTACTGATTTAGGTTCTTGCCTGTAATGAAAATAAACTGAAATTTATAATTATACAAGTTATAATTGTGCTAAATGATAATTAATATATTGAAAGGAGAGGCACTTTAAATTGAGGATAAATTTCGAATAGTGATACTGGCATGATGTGATTCCGAAGTTATAAAATTCTTGGAATATTATTTTAGAAAACGAGAAAATAGCAAGTTATATCTGATATAATAATTCATTTCTAACGAACAAGAAATTCCTTTTAAGATTTCTACACAGAAGAAATTCTGAAAGACATGAAATGAATAACGGACCAATTTCTCATCAATCCTCAGTTGTTTCCAATCTCCATAGGGAAAATATTAGGTTAATAAAAAAAGATAGTGCTGAAATGGGCACACAAGAGGCATATTTAGAGGGAATAAAATTGGATGCATTGGTGTGTCACTTCTACGCTTAATTTGTAGTTTCAGTCCTATTTGGTACTCCGTAATTACGATGGCATTTTTTCACTTCAATATATATACAAAAAAAAAAAACCATAAACCAACTAAATATAAATAATAGGGTGCACACAGATGTTTTAAAAAAAAACAATGATTAATGATCATTATTTAAAAATACAACAGCATATGAGTTATTCTTTTATCAATTTTTTAAAATTGTGATAAAGACATCATAAAATTGAGTTAATATTGCTGTTGCATTATTTATAAATTTCCTTCATTTTTTTTTGCTTGGTGTTACATCTGATATAATTCATTTCTAACAAATGACTATATTTACGGTATCATTGGATGTCAAGTATTGATAGACAAGTTATAATTGTGCTAAATGATAATTAATATATTGAAAGGAGAGGCACTTTAAATTCTTCAGTAAAAACAAACTTTTTTCGCTGCTATATGCAGTAAAAAAATTCAAAAACCACTGTTTAGAAAAACTATTTAAGCGGTACATGCTCTATTAGCACAACATCTAATTTGAGAAATAATTTAAAAAAGGTCTTAAATGCCCTATTAAGATATTGAAAAATGATTCAAAACAAAATTAACAACAGAAAAAATTAATAAACTAACTCATGCAAATATCTGCTGAAGTCATCATAATAGTCTATTGCGTCCTTCAATGAGTAAATTTCCTGAGCTATTTCATTAAAAAATTTTGGTAAATCCATAACAAGTTCAGAAATTTCATAGTTTATATTTTTACCTATAACATATTTGCATAGGCATGAGATACTCTTTAATTGGTGTACATTAAATAAATTAAACTAATTTTCAGGCCATATTCGCTGCAATTTTTTATAGATAAACAAGATAAATCAAAAAAACATCAGAAAGATTTTTTTTCAAATATTCAGCTGATTGTATAAACCAGCACGTATTCTTTCCTCACCTTGTGTATGACATGGATGAAAGATTGGTGGATTATCCAAAAATTAGTAACCACCAGAGAGATATTTTACCATCATCGCTAGTCAAACCGCAGGCCTCTTTTTTGTTAGGTGATATAGTGGTTTTTCTGCCCAACTCACCATGTATGATTTGGCTTATTCTACTACCTATTAGAACAAGATAATTATATGGGTGTTAGGACAAGGAATTTCAATTGGATAGTTAATTTGGATAAAAGAAGACAGGTCTTCGGCACTACTTGAGTTTTTTAATGGAAAATTCAATTCTCTCATAAGGGTGGGGGGTGGATCCATGATGAAATGATAACTTAAGCAATATTGCCACTGATGTTACTTTTTAAGTGTGTTATGATTAATGATAGATATTGGCAATTCAAATGTGAAATGGATCAAGGCATCATAAATTTGAAATGAAAACCTTTTATCCCCATTTTTTGCAAATCTTTTTCATATTGCCGCCGTGCTTCTTCTGCCAACTTATTATAATCTTTTTCTTTTAATTCACAAATCTAAACTTATTCAGTTAATGCTTTAGTATTTAAATTAAATTTAGGGTAAAATTGATTTATAAAATTACTGACGATTAAATTTTGATCACATTTTTGTATTCGCCGTTTCAAATCTGGTATTTTATAATGTACAAGTCTGATTAACATCTGAGATGCTTCGGCTAGGCCTATATTATCTTTTTCATACATTTGACAAATTTGCTGCAAATCTCAAAAATTTAAAAATAAGTACGAACAAAAATAAAAGCTTTTCCAGGATTTAAAGTCCCTACATTTTTACAAAACTTATATTAGAACTTAATAAGTTACATTAAGTAATTATATAAAATCAAACAAATCTATCATACAAAAAAATCAATTTCAAATTCATCAAAATTTAAAACTCAAAAATGAGTAAATTAAAAAAACGATTAAGAATAAGAAATCGAACAATCTGATGCAAAAGAGTTAGAAATTTAAAAATTTAAGCGTCGCGAAGAAAAACTCCAGAATTATAAATGACATACCAACCAATCATTCATCCTTTGAGAAGAATAAAAGCCAAGAAAATTTTTACTATCTTTTTCAGTTTCTTTCAGAATTTCAATAATTTTCAGGCATTGAAAGTAATGTATATCTAAATTAACAATTAATATAAGAATTTAATGAATAATATGGACCTACAAACGTGAAAAATGCACCATCATCAAAATAAACTGGAAAACACAGAAGTGTAAATTTTTTTCTATGGCACTTAGCATTTTTGATTAGACTTGCTCCACTAGTTATTAGAATAAAAGCTTTTCGCCACCTGTCTATATAAATACAGATGGGTTCCCAGTACCAATCGAATATCTTAACGAAAAGTTTACTCCTGGAAGGAGTATAAAGCGAACAACGAAGCTCAGAATGATAGGAATCTATGTTACTGCCAGTCGGTTATTCCGCCTTTAGATTAAAGTAGAGGAGTGAAGTATTTAAATTAATAGCTAATGAATTATTCCCAAAAGCCATAAAATTAAAAATGCAACAAATTAAAGAAAATCTTTATTCAAAAAAAGGACTGACATTGGCCTTTCAGCAAATCAACAACCTTCTCATCTTCAGGCATATCTTGGACTGCTTCACCGATCCTTCTCCGAATATCCATGACTCCTTTTTCCCAGTCTTTATTGCAATGCCTTCGACTTATTAACCAATCTAACAGAAATAAAAAAAAATATTAAAGCCTAAATAATTTCCTTTTGTCTTAAAATATTTTCTTATAAAAATTTAAGAAAAATATTTCGAAACATTGAGAAAAAAATAACCAAGAAGCTTGTTGCATTGAATATCAATTATATCAGACTTTTCGAAGAATTTCAACCCTTTTCTTTCAGTATTATTAAAAAATCAATAATTTTAATAAATTATAAATTTTATAATTTTATAATGAATGATAAAAAACTTTAAAAAATGGGTTAATTCGTAAAATCTTTTTTTCATTTCCAAAGACCTAATTTAAACTGATAACCATTAACTAAGAAATAAGAACGATGGCAGTAATCGACTTAAAAACCAAATTAATAACAAGAACGAAAGCCGACCGTATTTTAATAATTGTCGGTTAAACTTTCGGTACTGGCCTTTGGAGATTTTTTGGAAGACTGAAACAGTTTGTAAGGATGTAAAAGGGTTTGGATTTATGAATTTCTATTTCGAAAAAAAAACATCCGTCAGTTGGATTATTTTGAAAGTGGTGATTTTTTTCATGATAACAAAAATCCGGGTGGTTGCTGGGGACCCACTCGTAAGTCCATCCCCAAGTGACTCTATGATAAAAGGATCTGATTTCGGTAGTACAAGCAATCCGGGCCGAGTAAAATGATTCCAAGGCTAGTGAAAAAGATGTGTTCGCAAGCCAAGGTGGTTGCTTGAAACCCGTTAAAAGAAAC